CCCCTTCCCCCCCCCCTCGTTTTATGTTTCCTCTCAATGTGTATTCTATAGTCCAACGTTTGGTCACCATACGACAGGTGATGGCACTTGGATTAGAGGGTCGGCCCTGAGCTCAATGACGATTAGCTACGATACGCCTTACACTTGTAGACCCTGGATCGCATACTGTAAGATCTCCTAGTGCACATCAGTGATCTAACTGCACTCCACCCTATAGACGTGAGAAAGCCTCACCAATGTTTGATTATTTTTGTGTGTTCATCACGCTTTTATGGGTTTGCTGCATTCTACACTGTACTGTGATATATATGTTTTGTAACTATGTTTCTATATATCTGAAAACCTTACAATAAAGAATAAGAAAAAAAATGTCCTGCTTACCTCTGTCACCCTTTCTGCTCTCCCTCCCCATCCCCCCTCCTTGGCACTGTGTCTCCTTCACAGGATCTCTGTTCGAGCAGAGCCTTTGCAGTTTGTACTAGACGATAGAATGATATGTCCTGCTGTATACAGCTAATTTCTATGCATGCATACGCAACGTTGAATGTTATCTACTTATGTCTTCTTTTACTGGGCTGTATGTACCGCTCTTGTATGGCTGTAAGTACTATTTACATTTGCAAAAAGTCTTTAAAATCAATAAAATTGATTGAACAGGAAAAAAAAAAGGGTACTGCACACATGTCTTATGGATGTTGTCCTGACAGCAATATGTGATTCCTGCAGGGTTTTTTGGCCTCTTTGGCTATACATACACTTTAAAGCTGCATCTCTGTTCATTCTGCCCTCTTTGTGTATTGACCATAAAGTCTAATTATCTCCCATAGTAATGATCCCATGTAAGCAAACAACAAGTCTTTCAGTTGTTGTTTCCATTCCTCAAGGGCCTGTGCTCCATCCATTTCAATGTATTACTTCCCATTGGTCATGGGACAAGTTTGTATGTTTCATCCATTATAAATTAATAGTATCAATAGATCAAGGGGGCATGTCTATCTTTTTGATTTAGGCCTTGTTTACAATCTAACATATGCCTTGACTTTGCCTTCCCAACAGCATAGCCCTTTCAAGACCAAATGTCAGCAAAGATTTCCGTGACCATGCAGAGCAACAGCACATAGCTGCCCAGCAAAAGGCAGCACTTCAGGTATGACCTTTTTAAAGGGAATATATAGCAGCCAAAATGTTTGCAGATACTGCATAAGGAAATTGTAGTGTTTTACATGTCTTGGTAAACCCCCTCAAGTAATCAGTAACTATAACGGTTGGATATTTTCTTGTATACATTTTTCTTTACATTATTCCCTGGCCACATGCTGTATCCCCATTCCAAGGAATAATGCATTTAACCCACCATTTGGATGCTTCATTCCCCTTTCCTAATAAGTCATAGGCTTACATGCAGAAAATATTCAAAGCTGAACATGCACAAAAATATTTTCATTTTAGTAAATTCCTGAATACCCACAAAGAATATAAACTCACCTTGTGTGCATTAAATGCCTTTCCAGTCTTCGATATTACTTTGTCCGTCTGACTTGCATTTGACCTGCTTCAAGCATACAGGTCTATAGAAATGCAAAACTGGTTTAAAGTGAACACAAGCAGTTGATACAGGCCCATTATGTGCTGCACATAGCCTGTGCATATAGCAGAGCAGTGAGAGGGAACCAGCAGGCCCATCCATTGCAGGCTGCCTGCAGAAAACTACAGGAGGGGGCAGATATAAGACAGTCACCCTGTACAAGGAGGGAGAGAGTAGCAATGACCAGTTTTCATTACAGGAAAATGCTGCATAGGTTTCATGCTGGATTACTGCATGAAACCTATGGATGGACTGCATGGATCAGAAACCATGAATATATGAAAAAAATGTGAATGAATATTCCTTACAAAACTTTAGCTACCTGCTATGCTTTCTAGTACTTGACTAAAAGGCAATTAAACGATTGAAGAGATATGGTGACATACAAGCAGCTCTAAAATGAAAAAGTTGCAGTGAAATTATTCCAGCAACTTTACAGAAAACCGCACTGACAGAAATGAATAGGCTACTATTGCTGACTTTTTTTTTTTTTTTTTAAGTCTGCGACCCAAAACAAATATGCATGTCAGGAGCTCTGACTTCACTTGCACAGCTTTTTTCTTTTTTTACGCTGAACACCACACAGGAGAAAATCTTCTAAAACCTTCCTCTTTAACCCCTTTTAAAAACATGAAAAAGCATTATCTCTACCCTGCTAGGTCATCTATTTGCGATGAAGCCCTACTAAATAAACAACCACCCGTTTGTTCTAAACTTAAAACCCACCTTATAACTTCATATATTAATGCCAATGAAACAGACCATTGCAAAAGCCTGGAAAACACCCAATACTTCTGCAGATTAATTCAAATCACATATGTATTAGTGCATACTATAAGAACTGATATATAACTGACTGCCATCCAAACTGGCATGTGCAAACTCAATAGCATACGGGAATTCGCACTACTTTCCTGCTACTTTTGATCATTCTTTACCAGGTGTTTGAATTTTAGCTGCTCAGATGCTTTAGCCCCTGTACACTGCCATCACCTCCCCATCCATCAGAAAATAATTTTTAACAGCTTAGAATGGTCAGCTGGTGTCTAGTGTTTGCATGTCACGGCTCTCTCTCCTGTGCCTGCCTTCAGGATCATAAATATACATTTTAACCTTTTGCTTTCTCCCTACAGCATGCTCATGCACATTCCTCAGGATACTTCATAACCCAAGACTCTGCTTTTGGAAATCTCATTCTCCCAGTTATCCCACGTCTGGATGCTGAGTGACAGTGGTTACTTCTGTTGAGGTCTTCCTGAGGCAGCAACAACTCTTATGTGAACTAGCTGAAGACTTTGTATAACAATTGTAAATATCTTTTTTTTAATAGTTGCATCACAGTGCCTGGAACTAAGCTGGCAAAATTTTGGTTTACAACAGTTCATTCTTGTGACTGTAATGCAAGGACTTTATGAAATATTCCTTTGAAATAAAAATGAACTTTTGTTTTTATAGAATGGCATCCCGTGTTTTTTTTTTTTTACATGTATTGTGTGTGAGCTTGCATACACCTGCATATATTAATGCAGTATTTTGCAGCCATGTGCACAGGGCAGTAACCCATAGCTGTCGGTCTGGATTCATCTTTTACTGACTTGACCCCAGCATAACGATATTTGGTTGGTTGGGACCATTTGCATATTTGCCAGTTCTGGCTTTCTAGCATATTGCACATGCCCTGAAAAACATCTAAATACTTTGGCCACATGTGGTTCGCCCTACTCCTTCTCCTCCTCCACAGCTTCCCGGCCAGGACCTGTATTGCAGGGGCAGATTTGACTCTCCTTTTTAAATTTACACATGTACAACCATAGGGGGGGGGGCGCCCGGTATTTTTTTAAATAGCGACCATCAGCTTATAGTAGAACTGTAAATGCCTGGTCCGTACGGCGTACTGAGCTGGCCAGCTGGAAGCACTTTTGTAGCTCCGTACGACGTACGTCCTTGGCAGCGAAAGGGTTAGGAGAACTCAAAGCAGGTATAGCAAGAAAGCAAAATATTCCGCAGTATAGGAAACTGTGCATTTACTTAGCGTGGTAAATGCCAAAGGCTTTGTGCAAAGTACTTTGCTAAAGGCGTCATCACTGATTTGTATAGTATATCACATTACTTAATAATAAACTTATAGTGCCGACACAATCATGTCGATATATATGTGTGCGTGTATATATTATTTGCTATTGTACGGTATAGAGCCCTTCTATGTGCACCTTGCTTTAAAGCTGGTTGAGTTGATGAGTGCGTTTGACATGTATTTTTTGCTTTATATATTATATCCGACATTAAATAGTTTAAAGCCGAACTCTGGGCACATCAAAATGCATTCCTTAATAGCCACAAAGGATATAAATCCACTACCACAGCACACTGTAATGTGCATTGCCATAACAAACTGTTCAGATTTATTCTCTTACAAGCTTTACACCATTCCAGAAACAGGTGTATTTAGTTTCATATACACTTTGCCTGGGCACAGGTTGATTCTGTTTAACTAATTATGTGACTTCTAAAGTCAGCTGGTTGACCCAAAGCTTACTTTGGGCTTACCCAACAAAGTCAGTAACTACTTATGCAATTAAAGGTGCCCATACACCTTATGATTATCGGACGAAACTTTTCGTCCGATGATCAAACCGTCATACGATTTTTGTATGGGCCCCTTAAGACTTCAGTGTTTTGAATTTGAAAAAATATATATGTGAGGGAAAAAATTTAATTCTGAAAAACTATGTATATTTTTTCAGTGTCAACATTATGAACTATTTTGTATGGATGATATGATGATGGATGACATAAAATCCCAATTACATCTATTAAAGTTCATTAAGTTTAATTTAAATCCAATTAAATTAAATCTATTTCAATTACTAACTGTAAATATGAAAAAGTCATCTGGGGATTATGGATACAATACTTATGGAATGTATTGTAAGTATACAGAAGAAGGTGTAAGTTTCGTTAGACATTAGTTTAGGTGTTAGGTTAGTGGTAAGGTCAAAGTGTGATAGCTTAACTTTTGTTAGGGTTAAAGTTAGGGTAAAGTAAACCTGACCATGGAAAAAAATATTTTTAAGCATCAAGACCTTGCCTGCAAGTAACTGTGCTGGTCTTCAAAACAATCCCGATTAAGCCCCCTCAGATCCTAGGCCCAGGCGGTACATGGAGCCCAAGATTTTGCTCAAGTCTATATTAAAGTGACATTAAACCCTCAGATTTTTAACATAAAACAATATTGTAATGTGTGCCTTACTGTAATCCATGGTTGTTTCCCTTCTCTTTGCTGCTCTTCCTTTTAAATCTGTATCTTAACATGCTGGGCAGAACTTCCCTTTGCAGCTGAGTGCCTCTTCCTGTAGTGCTGGCTCAGGTTGTGAACCTTCACACAGACACCATGTATCCATTTCAGAGACAAGGCAGTCTGCTGCAAAACAGAAGTTCTGCCCAGCATGAGAACAGATACAGATTTAAAAGGAAGAGCAGCAAAGAGAAGGGAAACAACCATGGATTACAGTAAGGCACACATTACAATATTGTTTTATGTTAAAAATCTGAGGGTTTAATGTCACTTTAAGCCCTGCTTCTACCATGTATATAAACCATAACAATTAACATACCGTATATGCCGCCGTATAAGGCGACTGGGCATATAAGACGACCCCCTGCTTTTTCTGTTAAAATATAGGTTTTGGGCTATACTCGTCGTATAAGACGAGTATAGCCCAAAATAATGTTTAAATACACCCACTAACCTCCATGGCGGTATTCCCGAGTGTGGCTCGGGGTTAATTTTCAGTACCATAAGCGGTAACCCACACTCGGGATTACAGTCTCTTACCTTGTCCACAAACCCCGCTGTGTCCTCCGTCTTCCGGGTTCTGTCCCTTGCGAGCATCCGCGTCGCAGGGGGAGGAACCGGCGGCAATTTTCAAAGTAAAAAAAAAAAAATAGAACGAAAAAATAAAATCATCAGACCACCAGGGAGGCTAATCTGTCAGCCCGCTGGATGAACCCAGTGTAAGGGACGACCCCCGATTTTCGGGGGATGTTTTTAAGTCTAAAAACTCGTCTTATACGCCGGCAAATACAGTATCTTATTTGTTAACTTTTGGTCTATTAAAGTGAGACTAAACTCAGGAATTAAATCTTAAAAATGCATTCAAGTACTGTAACTATTAACAAAAATGTATCTTATTTGTGTATCACTTAGCTGTAGATCCTCAAATCATCTCTGAATTTGTGTTGATACATGATGGACTACAATCTCACATTTAGTTTACTAATTTGTAGTGAGATTGTAGTCCATCACAGGAACGTGCTTGGAGCGGTGGCTAATTTACAACACACACAGGCATCAAAGAAGCCATCCTACAGAAGGAAGGACAGTGTCAGCACCAATTCAGAGATGATTTGAAGATCTACAGACGAGTGATACACAAATAAGATACATTAACCAGTTGACATCCGCGATGTTAAACCCCCTTCCCAATACTACGGGCGGACGGCAAGAGGTTAATGTTAATAGTTTGAGGTACTTAAATGTATTTTTAAGACTTAACTCCTGAGTTTAGTGTCACTTTAAATTAGGGCTGAAACAACTAATCTATAATCAATAATGAGAATCATTGTCAATCGTTGTCGGTTAGTTGACCACTCTGCAGCGGTCTGTGTCCCTTTCACTCCCCACTGCTTTCCCCGCCTCTATCGGCAGAGGCAGCGGGGACACAGACCACTGCAGGTGGCACTGGCAGGAGCGACGACTGCTGTGCCTTGGCAATACCCCGCTGCCTCCCCCCCCTGTTCCTCCTCTGCTCCCCCATTCCTCAATTTTTCAGCTGCTCCCCCTGTGCCCCTTCTTCTGCCGGCAGTAGAAAGCAGGCGTTAAGTACCCATCTAGCAGCTGAGAGCAATACCCAGCCTGCTAATGGCTATCTTAAATTGCAATAGCAGGCTGGAAATTGCACCTGCTTACTGCCTGTCATCAATCAGCAGAGGAGGACCTGAAGGAGAACTGCAATTGCTATGTATGGTGCAATTGTTAGGGATTACTTACACTTTAAAAACCCTTGTACACTAACCTTTTGTGTTAGAGAGACTTGCAGTAAGTAGGCTATACACGCAGTGAATTTCGTCTGGTTCTGGCCATTGTCAGTGCTATTCCACCTGGCATCCCTCAATCAGCTGATTAAAGGAGCAGGTTGGATAATTATCAATTGAACAGAGCTAGCAGGCAATCAGCTGCAAGCTCCGTATGAGTATCCTGCCAGCGGCCCGCTGTCAAAATATAGTAGAAACAGCAGGATTTCTTGATCAACGTTTGTAAGTGTTGATAGAAAAAAGTGTTCTATTTTTTTTTGCAAATGAATAAAAAAATAGAACCGTATATATAGTGCTGAAAAGTAATGTCCTTGCCAGAAAATGAGGTATGAGAGTGATTTATTTTTATATTAATTACAATATAGGGGTCTATTCATTAAGCTGCCGTAGGCAGAGTGAATGACCAACCTGAAGCGAAGTGAGCCGAGCGCTGTTCAGCTATTCACTTCAGGCTGGTACAGCAGGCTCCTCGCTGCTGTTCGGTCTATTCTTATAGATGCCGACCAGCAGTGAGTTATTAGCCGAATGCCGCTGAGCTGCATTCGGCTCGCCTGTTCTGCTCGCTCACTCTGTGTGACCGAGCAGAACAGAAAAATAGTTTAAAAAGTAGAAAAGAATAAATAGAAAACGATTGTGCGGAGCTAGCAGTGACAGCTAGCTCCGCCCAACTGTTTTCTATTGGCCGGCGGTTCTGCTGCCGTCAAAAAAAAGAAAAAAACATTTTTGCCATAGGAATGCATTGCTAGATTCCTATAGTCTATTTAAATTTGCAATAGCCAATAGCAAACTAGCTATTGTACACGCCCACTGCTGCTGTCAATCACTAGTGGGGACCTGATGGAGAACTGCAGCAGTGGGCGGGTGCAATATGTAGTTTGCTATTGTCTATTGCAAATTGAAATAGCCAATAGGAATCTAGCAATGCATTCGTGGTGACATTTTTTATTTTATTTTTTTTTATTCTGACGCCAGCCAACGGCTCCGTGTAAGAATAAAAAGGAAAAAGCAGTGTTTCTCTCCTGGGCGGCCGGGAGCAGGAGACTCCTGGAGTTTCCGGGAGAGTTATGCTGTCTGGAGATCAGTGTCCCTGGTTAGCTGGTAACCAGGGACGCTGATCTTTCTGCAAGTGGCCGGAGCCAGCCATAACATCACGGCTGGCTCAGCCCAGCTGCCAGAAGCAGGCTGTCGGCCGGCCGCTCGGCCAGCTTCTGCTTTCACCTTGGCT